CACACGAAGACCTTTGTAGCAGCAACTCATAGTTTGTAAGCGAAGGGTAAAGGAGGAAAGACGAAGAGCATCGAGTTGCTGGAGCTTGGGCAATACACATTGTGTTTTTCGTAATACACTCAAGATCAAATTTGATCCAGGCTGGTCCATATATTAGGTGTATTAAGAAAGAAAGAATATGTAGTTCGCTGCTATGTAATTCGGCATTCCTTTTAATATTGAAATTCTTTCCTTAGTTGCAATTGCGCTCGGTTTCAAATGATTAAGTATTAGCGTGGACGAAAATTTTTTTTCTTTGGCTTAGCCTGGGTGAAAAATCTGTAGATTTTAAATTTTTTAAGAAAATTTTTAGCCTAAAAAAAAATTGTTTAACACCTTAGTTTTAAAGTAAATTTCCGAGTTAAAATTTTTATTTCGTAAAAATTTTTTGATAATTGATTTTGAGTCAAAAACCGTCAAATTCGGTATATTTTATATACCGACTCTATAAAGTATATATAAATCATCGGCGTGATGAGCTGAGTCGATTTAGCCATGCCCATCTGTATTTCTGTATATATGCGAATTAGTCCCTTTTCTCTCCAAGAAGCTGTGCATTTGTCGGGACCGTCGTTATCAGACTACTATAGCATATAGCTGCCATAGAAACTGAACGATCAAAATGACATTTTATGGACACTTTTTTATTTGTAAAGGGTATCATAGCTTCGGTGCAAGTGAAGTTAACTTTTTTTCTTGTTTTTGTAATTATCTCAACAATGTTAAGCAAATTCTTACCAGCAAATGTACATACATATATTTTCACTTATACCAAGTTTGAAGATATTTTTTTCACTGTATCTGTACATTTTTTATCTATCTACTTGCGCAGGTGAGCACTTGACTGAAGAGTTTAAGCAAAATGTCAATCGTTTCCAGCGGCTGCCCTGCATTATCGACGATGGCTACAAATTGGCCGAAAGTATTGCTATACTTAGGTGAGAAGAGAATCATCGTATCGAACCAAATTTTATATTTCTAGCAGAACAAGCATACAAATTTTTCCGGATACATAAGCGAAGAGACTTCAAAAATGATCATTCGTATTGCCAAAAAGCAACTGAGTTTCTATAATTCCAAATTAGTTTTTTTTTAACACCACTAATCTATAAAATATTTTTAGAAATCCTCTAAGGAACTTCTCTTTTGTTGCAATACTCAAATAACTTCGAAATTGCAGATATCTCAGCGCAAAGGGCAAAATACCAGAACATCTATATCCTAAATATTTCGTGGAGCAGGCGCGTGTTGATGAGTTTCTCGAATGGCACCACATCACTTTGCGCGTGACTTGCTCCCTTTACTTTCGCACGATTTGGTTGGATCCACTGATCACCGGTGTACGACCGTCAAATGAGAAAATCCAAAACCTGACTAAACTTATGGAGGACAATTTGGATATTATCGAAAATGTGTGGCTGCAAAAAACAGATTTCCTCACCGGACAGCGATTGACGGCGGCAGATATTTTTGCAGCGTGCGAAATAGAACAGACACGTAAGTAGTCCAACATTTTCGAACTTTTCTCAACACAAATTATATATGTAATTAAGTTTTGAATAGTTTGTTTAGTATGCTTAAATAATATAATTTTATAATTTAAATTCCTACCTTTTTCCATTGTATGTTAGGTTTGGCTGACTACGACGTGCGTATAAAATATCCGAAAATTAAGGCATGGTTAAAGCGCGTGCGTGCTGGCTGCAATCCACACTATGATAATGCGCACCAATATGTGTATAAAATCAGTGGGACTGCACCACATGCGAAACTATAAGGAAAGAAAGCGACGCTGTTTTGTGATATTTTTTTTAAGAAAATAAAATGTTATGGAATTAAATAAAAAAATTTATATAATTAACAAAACAGAAATAAAATTAATATATATATGTATATTTATTTTTTTAATTATGATAAATATGTGAAGCACGAAATATTATTACAAAAATATATTTGTAGTATGAACATAAAAAAATACAAATATATTATATAACACATTTGAAAATTATAATAAATAAATAATTTTATTTTATTATAAAATACATTTAAATTTGATTTTGATAATTTATATTTAAATAAAATTAATATATTTATGTAGATCAAAATTTAATAATACTAAACCAATATTTAATTAAAAATAACGGAAAAAAAATTTTTTATTTAAAAATAATAATAAACAAAATAATAAAAATAATATTCTTTGATTCAAAAATTTAATCTAGAAAAAAAGATTATTTAGTGTCTAATTATATATTAATATAAAAGATGATAATAAGCAAATTATTAAAAACTAAAATAAATTATCAAAATCTAAATTAATCAAATTTGAGCAATCAAAGTAGTATGAATAAATTAAAAATTCTTAATTAATTGCACAGTTGCGAGTTTTTAAATAGCAAAATTTTTGATCAAAACCATAATTTTTAATCCCGAAATTGGATATAAAATTCCTAAATCTAACTCTTTATTAAATCTAATTTTTAATTAAAAATCGAAAAATTCGATTTTTTAATTTTTACCAGTGCTCTAGAGTATTGAATAAGATGGCTCTGTGTGAGCTCTAGTTCAAAATGGTAAAACATGAGGTACGCAAGCGCAAAAAAACTGAAATCTACAAAAAAAATTTTTTAATTTTAAATTATAAACTTGAAATAAACATTTTTTTTTATTTTCCAAACCGGTAATTGTGAATACAATTTATTTTGTTTTTCAATTCTGTATTTACAAAACAAAATAATAAAAATTTAAATAATAACTCAATTATTTTGCAATGCTCAAAGTGGTAGAATACATAGTAGGCAAGCACGAAGAAATATAAATCCAAAAACATTTTTTTTGGTGAATTTTAAATTATAAAGTTGCAATTAAAATTGTTTTTGAATTTTCCAATTCAGTATTTGGGATTAAATTTTTTTTAATCTTTCAATCCGGTATTTTTCATTAGACTTTTTTTATTTAAAATCCGCTACAGATATTTGTAAGTTACTTTTAATTAAATTTTTCGGTTTTTAATATAACAATAAAAAAAAAAACAAATTATAGTCAAATAAAAATTAAAAGTGCATTAATTTTAACAGTAAAATATAAAAAAAAATTGCATTATAGCATAAAACAGATTTACGCTTATGTTTCAATTATTTGTTTGTTAATTTTCAAAATTTAAAAAACTATATTTTAAAATATTTGTGCAAGTTAGATAGAACTTCCACTTCCACTTTAAAAAATTAATTGTTAGCATATTTGTTTAAATAAGAAAAAGTTTTACATTATTATTTCTCATTTTTCTTTGTGAAAAGAAATAGGCATTAAAAAACTTCCGTTATCGCGCAAGTCACTTTTCTTTGCTGATATATAGACCTGGATACCGCAGAGCTCACATTTATTTATTTTGTTGGTTTGTAGAGCAATACGTTCCATTCAGAAACTGACAGCATAATCTTTTCCTCCATATTACAACTCATTACAACAAACAAAAAAAGGTATATCATATCATCAGCACAAAGCAAAACTCAAAACCCAGCCGCCATACATATTAAATGAAAATACTTTTCGATTATTTCATTTCTAAATTTGTAATTTCTGTTTATTTACTCTTGATAATATTGATGCGTGTGTGTATGTTTGTGTGTATGTGAGACTTCCCTCAGGCTTTCTTCATGTAAATTACTTGAGAATTTACTGCTTTTTGTATTTTAATTCATGATTTTTTCGACACTTTACAGTTATTTGGTTGGAAAATCTTCCGTGTGGGTTCTTTTTTAATTTTTATTTGTTTATCGCTTTTATTATTTCATTTCATTTAATTGTATATGTATAAGTAATTACACAAAAATAAATCCATACATTTATAGGTAAATAGGTAGGTAAATATATATATGTATATATATATATACTTATATGTGCATGTATATATATGTACATACTTTTTATAAAATACATATATAATATAATTTCTGTGTGTGTGTTTGTATATATGTATATCATAAATCGAGCTACATACAATTTCTACTGTGTTAGTTTTAGCGCTTGTAACGCCATTTCAATACAAACTTTCCAAAAATGGGGGCACAAAATGTTTGCAAATAAATTCTCTTCAATTACATTTTTTTCACAATTCAAATATTACTAACACTAACGCGCGCAGCTGCCGTTTACCGCTTGCTAACCTATACCGTAGCTAACCTCAAAAATCAGCGAATATAATAATTTAAACAACAAATATTTTAATATATATATATATAGTTGTATATTTTTTTTTGTTTTGACCAAACATAATTTTGGCTTGTAAATATAACTTAAGTAATTATTTATAAGCAAATAACAGAAATTAAAATTAATCGCATATTAATCAAATCAATCATCAAAATAATCATTTATGTATAATTACAATACAATGCAAATAGTTTAATACAAACATAATTATTATCGAATAAATAGTAATTATGTTACATGCATATACACATACATACATACGTACAGGGGAGCGTGGGTTCGTAAATAATAAAAATAATAGTAATAATTAATAATAATAATAATAATAATAATATATAAAAACAATTAAATAGTTGGTTTTTGTATTATTCTAAACGTATGTATAATTTAAATTAATTCATTTCAATATTTTTCGCAGCATACATGTATGTATGTATGCTCTGATTTTTTCTTTTGAAAACATACAATTTTTTTCCTAGCAAATACCAACAAATTTTCCACTTCAAAAAAATTATTTCCACTATGCCAAGCGCTGTACATTTACAAATCATTTAAAATTTTTCCATATAAAAATAAGCGCAAATTTACAAAACGCGTAGGTTTCGCTTTACTCTCCATAATTAATGTGTGTGTGTGTGTGTGTGAAAATTAATTTTAATTTTGTTTTTTATCATGTACAAAATGCATTTTAATTAATTTAGTTAAAACAATGTTTTTTAATTGAAAACTTATTAAACAATACAACAACACAAGTCAGGTGAAATGCGCAAAAATCATAATACTTAATTTAATAACACCGGAAATTAGCAAAACAATATAATTAACAATAAATCACGGCGTATTCGCTTTTTGCTACAATTTCAACTTTATCACCCGTTAGCTAGACATACGAACTCTGTTTTTTGGGTTGCAAGAAAATATATCAGAAAATATATATATGTATATGTATGTATTGTATATTTGTAGGGTTTCGGATAACTATTGTCTACATACTTTTCTCTCTTTGGAATCTAACTGTAATGCGACAAAAACGATTGGATGCAAAATAACTGTATGTCAAAGCGCCAAAGTGCTTTCAATTTTATTACTTGTTAGAAAGGCTTTGTAGATGAATATTTGGATTGCTGATTTTGTGTGGGTAATATAAGCGAAAGCGAACCTGTCTAACAAGAAAAAACGTTAACTTTGGTTGCACCGAAGCTATAATACCATTCACAAATACAAAAGATTACATGCAAGAACTTTAATTTGTATGGCAGCTATAAGCTATAGCAGTCCGATTGGAATAATTTCTTCGCAGTTTATACCGTTGACTTGGACAATATTCTATGCCATATCTCTTCAAATACAAAAATTTTCCATGCAACAACTGCATTTTGATTTGTCAGTTTGTATGGCAGCTATAAGCTATAGTAGTCCGCTAGCGGTGGCACCGACAAATGAGCACCGACAAATGAGCAGAAGAAAAAAACGTCTGCGAAATTTCAGATCGATATCTCTTAAACTGAGAGACTAGTTCACGTGTAAACAGACGGACGGCTAAATCGGCGCAGCTCATCATGCTAATCCTTTGTATATTGTACATACACGTACTTAATATACCATGTTCAAGGTATACAAACAACAACAATAGTTGGATGTACGTAACCGCAGCGGACTTTAATTT